TATGTTCCTAACTGTGGAAACAGACAGCTTAAATCTCTGAGACAGCTTCCTGTGTCCTTCCCCTGAACCATGATGGTGAACAATCTTTGTCTTCAGGTCATTTGAGAGTTGCTTTGAGACCCCCATGTTGCTACTCTTCAGAGAAAATTAAAAGAGGAGGGAAACTTACAATTGACCCCCTTAAATACTCTTTCTCATTATTGGATTGACCTGTGTATGTAGGTCAGGGGTCACTGAGCTTACCGAGCCAATTTGAGTTCCAATAATTAGTTCTAAAGGTTTTGGAATCAATAAAATGACAGCAGTGCCCAAATTTATGAACCTGCCTGATTTTGTTTAAACAATATTGCACACTTTCTGTAAATCCAATAAACTTAATTTCACTTCTCAAATATCACTGTGTGTGTCTCCTATATGATATATTTAACTGACATTTTTTATTGTAACAACCAACGATTTATACAGGAAAATGACTATTAACAAGGGTGCCCAAACTTTTGCATCCCACTGTGTTTTATGTCATGTTGTTACAGCTTTCTATTTTATTTTATTATTCATTCTTTCTAGTTGCACACAGTACAACTAGATGATATTTTGATCCTGTGTTTGTTCTGTACATATCGCAGAACTGACAATACCTGCTTTGGTGACTCTAAAGGAAACAGCTGAAAGAAGAAAAAGACTTGAAATATATCTGCATAGTGATTTAGATTGAGGGCTACCTATCAAGATATCATTTGACTATCACGCAGATGTAGATATGTACAGTTTCAATAACCAAAGAAGTAATCTTTAAAGACCCCTTTTTTTTTCACTTCGTGCTCAAAACCTTTTGTCCAAACCACTTATCGTTGTCATAATGAAAGACTTCTGCACACCTTTATACACAAGATTTCTAAAGCTAATAATCTTGCTTCCGTTTTCCATCATGTGCTCTTGAAACTATGTGTTAGAAAAGGAAGCCTAACCTTAAACTGATGCCTGGCAGTGACTTCCACGCCCTCATTCATGAAACGTTTACTGGACATGGGGCTGCCTGAGGGCAATTCTGAGCAATAAAATGTTAATATTGCGCAATTTTACAACCAATGAGTCTTATTTCTATCCCCAAACAATTTAACCATGGCATCATGTGAAATCACACACCCTTTCCTGAAAACACCAAAAAGATTGTACTACTCTCTGATCCTGTGTGTTTCAGGTCTGAAAACCAACCACTACTGTAGGCCCACGATGCCACCAGGGGCCACAACCAGCCTGCCAAAGTTCAGTTCAGCCCACTGGATGGTTTTTCAATGGGAGAAAATTGCACAAAGTCACTAACTACTCCAGTTTAAAATTCAATAAATAAATATAAAATGTTATTCCTTTTGCACAGATGCCAGTCTCACTACACGACTGAAAAAGTCTAGTAGAGTTAAAAGTATTTCTAGACCTAGAAAAGGTTTTTGAATCTTAAAATTTTAAATAGTTTTTGCTTACTTGCAAAATCTCTGCACATATTTATATGGCTTTTTACTGATGTAGGCCTGACTATGAATACTTCTTTATACTAAAAAAAGCAGAAAATATCTTGTGCAGTGGTTTTATTGAGATCAGTTTAGGCAGCATGTGGCTCAAAACATAATATGAATGGGGAAGAAAGTCAATCCAGCTAAAGCTTAGCTAGCTTGACAGAACCCCCAAATAAAAAATATTTTAGTAAAAAAAAAAAACCCCTACACATTACTTTTAGTGTATTGTAAATAAAATTAATGTAAATGTGGCATTTGAATCAAATTTTAGACCCAAATCTGAACATAACCTACTCTGAACCAGGTTATATGGTCAGCATGGGTTACCATAGTGATCGAGCCCTTGAAAACAAAGGCACCTTCCAGCTTTGAACTTGACTTAGCAAGATACATTATGTCAGCTAATAATTAATATATAATTACATAATTGCATAAGTAATCTTGCTTCGTTTAGACCAGCAGTTGTAGCTGCCTTTTTGTACTTAATGGCTTAATGAGCAACTAATAAGAAATTATTCATACATCTAAATAAATTGAAGAGTTACGCTGCTACAAGATTATAAACGCCACACTTTTTGTGGACAAACAATAACCTTTATTGTACAAAGAAAAAGTGTTTTACATGTTCGGCAATTTCAGGAAAGAAAATAAAAGGGGCTAAAAGCAAGAAAACAAAAACTAATTTTTTCTTTTAAACTTTTACCAGATT